TTGTATATTTTATAATCTCTTATCATATAAAAAACGTGCAACAGTACAAACAAATTAGAGGGCGGTTAAGAATGTGGAGCTTCTTGTTGAGTGACAATTCATAACTGAGAACACAGAGCAGCACCTGGCAGAATCTACCTGGCAGGGGGCCAGAACCCAGAAGTTAGACAGCAATGTACCACAAAAGTCTGAATTTGATGTTTTGAGAATATAGAAAATTCTCTCTCAAGTGCCCAGCTTTTGTCAAAAAGACACTAGACGACAGGCAAAGTAAAGTTAGAGCTCGGGTTTTGTTTTCAGTGTCTTTCTCACCTAGCAGTAAAGAGGATTGTGCTACCTTATGACTGTCTCTGTTGCCTATTGAAATGATTCACCTATGACACTGGTTCTTCCAATGGCGTCACAATAAATAGTAAGATTTGAAATGCATGCAATTCCTTGTATCTTTTGCAAAGCATTTACAGAGAATTGACTGTAATCCAAGTCCTCCGTATTGTCTTCACTTGTGAATTCATTAATCCTTTAGTGAAGTGAATAACATCACTCGATGTTAAGGTATCTCCACCTGTGAATATCCCTTGTTTTCTGTTTTTTAACTACCTTTTACTCTTATGTACACATTGCTATAGTTTTGTGTTTGAGGATAAATGTTTCTGAAAGAACAAAAGTATAACACATTATATTTGTAAAGCTAGCAGTAGTACACTTCCTCAAATCCAGGTGGCTACTGTAGGTCAATTTATCTCAAATACATTGATTTATTGATTTAATTCGGATATGATTGGGTTTAGATGGGAGGTTTTGCAATTCACACATCACACACATTACAACGGGCACATCCCCTGTCCCAACACTCATTTGAAACGTCCTAGTGCGTATTCTGTAAATGACCTTCCTCATTGCTTCCAGCACTAGGCAATATCATCTCCAATCTTTTTAAAGCCTCATCTTCTGATGTACAGTACTGAAATTACAGTATGTAGAACTCAGGGTCTTGTCTTTTATCCTATCACACACCATATCCTTCTTTGTCAATATCTGTGTAAATCAATCATTTAATACTTCTAGTTTCCTGCTTGTCGTCTTAATAACCAGTTTATATCCCTGAGATACAGTACTTTTCCATCTTTTTTACATGCTCATTTCTTATTATGATATCAGCCACCACAGCTATATTTCTTTCTCTCCCACTCCTCTTTTAGGTTAAAACCGTTTAAACCTGAAACCTTCCCGTTTCTGTTCAGAGTATTCTCTTGATCAGCTCTTCTTCCAGCCTTGAGAAAGAGTGCCCAGAGTCCTGAGGTTGACCCCTGCTCTCCCCTGTGAGAACTACAGGAGCCAAAGCCTTTGGAGTTCATCTTAAAGGGGGAAATTTTGAAACTGCCGTTAGCTGTGCTTGATGTGGCCCCTGCGGAAAATCACAATGTGTCTTCGTTCTGCTTCATTAGCACCCCAGACCGCAGCGCAGCTTCTACTGTTTTGTCACAGCTAGCAGGTTATCAAAGCCACACAGCACACCAACTTCCTATAAAATACCAAGAAGAGACTGTTGCACTATATGGACATTAAATGACCATTTCACTTTTCTAACTATGAACTATAATTGTGGATCTTCAGCGTGATAGCCCCTCTAATCATAATGTGAATGGTTAAGGCTTCTCTCTCTCCCCTGACCTGGGTACACCATGTGACATCCATCCATTTTCTACACTGCTTCATGCGTACAGCGTCGCAGGGGAGCCGGAGCCTATCCCAGCAAGCAGTGGGCGCAGGGCAGGACACACTCTGGACAGTTAACCTACCAGGATGCCTATTGACAGCAGGAGGAAGTTGGAACACCAGGAGGAAACTGAAGTGAACACGGGAGAACATCTGGACTCCGCACATGCCTTCTCTCTTTTGCTGCCTCACCTCTCTTTCCTCCTTTATCTGCTTTTCTCTCTCTTTGATCATTGTGAGCAATTGGTACAAGTAATTAATAAAAATTTATCTACGTGTTATCATCATGTTTCCATCCTGTATACTGTGCTTTTCAGAATTTAACATGAATGACCAGATTTTTTTTAAACAGACCTTGTTTTCCAAAATTAACTGTTAGTATTCATTTGAGTTATCTTATACTAATATTAGTAAAAATATGAATAATACTAAGATGAACATTAAAATCAACAAGGGGTCATTGCTATGTGTGTGGTAGGGTGGGGTGGGAGTGTGGGTGTTAGGGTTGAGGCAGAGTGACTTCTGATTAACTGCAAACCACAACACTGAGTACATTTGAACTGCCTTTATCTGCTCACGAGCAGAGGATGTACTACTGTATATATTTTACTGAGAAACTGCACAAGCTACTGGACTTCTTGTACAGCCTATAGTTATTTATTAAGACAAGAGCTTAAAATAAACTGGAACTAGATCATTCAGTGCCTTATGTATTACCAGCAGTATCTTAGACTTTCACTGAAAGCCAGTTTGATCTGTTAATCTGTTTCTAGAGGATGGGAGTTAAATGCTGATGCGGAGAAGTTTAAATTTGCATGCGGATTTCAGAAATATGGAAATATTGAAGCATATATAGTACCTTACTGAAGACCTTAGCTTGTTATCTGTGTCATTGAAAATATCTACTGTATCTGGCTTGTTTGATAAAAATATTTTCTACTTAATTGTTTCAGATGGAGGGGCCTTTAAATTTGGGGTTTTCATTCGAGGTGTTTGCATATCTGTAAGTGAGCTTAAAGGCAGGTAAAACAGTGATAAAGGGGGGTTTCTGCAGAATCGCTCTAGTAAAAGAAAGGGATAAACTTAACACAGGGTAAAAAGGGAGGAGGACAGAGAGAAAGGAAGGTAACAGAAGGAAGACAGGAGAGGACAGAGACAGACCATCACACTCCTCTTCCTCTAAGCTTACTTAAGTGCTAATAAGGACTCAATATATCAGTAACTCTACAGCTTGTATACTAATTGAAAGTACCCTGCATCAGCTGATCTGAAAGAATCTGTGCAATAACATCAGCAAATAGGAAAAAAAAACATACAGTAGTTTTGTTCAGGTCTGCCTTTTCACTTTATTTGTATAAAAAAATATGACAGTCATTTTACCCTCCACTCTTACGTATATCACTGTTATTTGCAATATTTAGACAGAAAATATGTATACAGAAAATATCAAACAGAAGCGTAGCTATCACAGACCCCTCAAGACAGGCAACATTTGGAATAGTCAGTAAAGCCACACCCCAAGTCAGAGGTTACTGTGGAGAGTGATTGGTTAAACACACAAAACGATTATTCTGGAACGGCAAATGATCATGTGAAACTACACCCTCTAGTTATCTACAATCAGCTACAAAACAGATTAATTTTCTAACAGGAAATGTTAGTGCTTCCTGGGACCCACTCCAGTATTTCCTACAATTCAACAATGTTTGTGTTTGGCTCATTTCAGTTTCTCTTTAGATTCTGGCACAACAGATCCTGTACAGAATACAGCTTAAGACTAACACTCAAACTAAAAATATATATATACAGTAGTAATGCAGTGAGTGATACATTTTATTATTTACAAAAATAGAATTTAAAATGAGAATATCTGTCCCTTTAATAGTCTATCTTTTGAATTGTGAGTTACATAAGGAATGTTATTTCTCCCCTAACACACCTCCTGTCAGTGCATATCATCTAGCATTTTTCTCTCCTCTCCTGAACTGTTTAAACATTAAAATTTGTTTAAAAATATTAAAATGAAATATATTAAAATAGGTATGAAAATAATTGAATAATATGTTAATAATGTGATTTAATAATATTATATGAATCATATCCTATATGATTCGATCAATCATATAATATTAATTTAATATTATATTAATCATATCTTACATGGTTTAATGATTAAATTAGATTATATTAATTTAATATTATATTAGTTATATCTTATATGTTTTAATTATTCAGTTATATGAAATTGATTTAATATTATATTAATCATATTAAAAGAAAGTATTAAAATAAATATTTGAAGTATTTTTAAATGATGAGAATAAAATAAAGCAGGTGAAAAGTTAATAACTGGATACTTCTAAGCACTTGGACTACAAGGTGACTGCTTGACAAGGACTGATAACTTGTGATCAAACAGCAGGCACAGTGCCACCTTAAGGTGCATGAGCTGTCCTTGGGAAGTTGTTAGCACCGGTGTGCTACAGGGACCTGTTTAAGGCTCACTGCTCTTCCTTACTCGTATCAACAAGTGAGATCCCGATGCAGTTAGTAAACCTATTACATTCTGCAGACAACAACAAAAGAGTGGCGAACACAGAAACAACAAAAAGACTTGAACAAATTATAGACCCTGAGTCGCCGTTTCCATAATACAGTAGGTATACAAATTTCTACCAGGATCTATTCCTGTCACATTCATAAACCCCTTCTCTTAAGGACGCTCCAGCCCTTCCTTGTTCTTTACTCATCTCCCGCACCTGCTCCCTGTTCCAGACCCCTTTTCAGTTCCCCTTAAAAGCCAGACGCCTACTCTGTTCCGGGCTCTGCATTGGTTTCCATACCAGGCGAATCCGGGACCTGGAAGCGCCTGGTCACGTCAAGCTTTTAAGTTCCTGTTCCTGCCGGTTCCGACCTGGTTCCCGTTTTTATTCTGTTCGTCTTGGATGGACCGCCTGGTTTTGGATTTTCGTCTTCTCTTGGATTCCCCCTTGGACCTTCTCCTGGATTGTTTGCCTCAGCCACACCTCCCCCGAACACCAGCACACCATGGACACGCCCCCTGTTTTGATTCCCAACTCCTACATGCTTTCCCCCCGTGTTTTCCCCACTCATCCCCGGATTGTGTCGTCTGCATAGAGTCCTGAAAGAACGCTTTTGTTACAATACCCCTTCAAAATTTGTATATTTGTATACTATAATTTTGGTGGGTAGCTACGTCAGCAAGCGTAGGCTGCAAAGGAACAAGTAATAGGTTTATTCCATGCTAAAAAGAAGAAGAAAGAAAACACAACGTTTCGTCCGTGGAGCCTTCTCATTTTGTATACTTCTCTTAATATCCATTACACTAGATTGAAGATACCAAGCTTATTTAATCTTTCTCCATGATAGAAAGGTACGTATTGGTCAAACTTAATACATTCTTCATCATAAACTCTTTGTCTATGACAAGTTGGTGCATTTTTATACTTCCAGAACACCTACGCTGTACAGTTTAGTTCCCTGCTAGGACTGCTGTCATCCTCCAACCCTGTGGGAACTGGCAATTTACCATTAACGTCCGACCACCTCCTTCTCAGCCCGACTGACAGCATCACCAGAATTATCACCACCAAAACACCTATAACAGCAAACACTGCTAGAAATTTGGGATCTTGGAGCAAATTTTCAGAACCTAGAAGGAAAACAAAACAGGGGTTATAAAACTTAAATAAAACAATTATTACAGTCAGAGGAAAAATAACAATAAAAGGCTAGGGAGCTTGAATAGGGACCAGCATCAGTAAAAAGGATTATACAGACCAAGAAACACAGCAACAAAAGGATATTAGAAAGAGCAAGAGCAAGCTAGAATATTGCAAAATATTGCTAAAACAGTCATAAAAGTTTTTTCTTACACGAGCAAAGGAACAGTAAAGGATTCAATTATTAAAGGATGAATAATTTACTTAATTATTTTTCCCCATTCTCTATTCTACCCCCTAATTTGTAACAGTATGCTTGAGGATGAGGATGGAGGATTTTAAGCAGGGTTAGATTGGGCTTGACTCACCAGGCTGAGGGGCAGCCCCCAGGCCACAGCGCGAGGAGGCCTGGACCCCTGCAGACGGAGGAGGTAGCCCAGGGGGAGCTCCTCAGGTGGACAGGGGGTAGAGGAGGGATGCAGAAAGCCGAGCATGAAGAAGAAAGAGGGGCCCGCTGCGGTATGTCTGGACTTTCAGGAAGTGACATCACAGGTGTTTGAGTAGTAGTGATGGAGACCTTGGTTGCTGTCATCCCTCCCAAGGACATTCACTTATAAACACATTC